GTAAAATTCCAGCTTTGATAAAATTGGTATGAAGAAGGCATTTTGGAATTATTTAAGATTAATTCGAAGTAAATTGAAAGTTAACCGGAGTGCACATGGTCAAAAAGAAAATTTAATAAAGTATTCTAAAAAATCATAAATTTCAAGAGTTAGAGTCTGTTTGGTGCACATTAAAATGAGAGAATGCATTTTTTTGAAGTGATGTGATGGAAAATATATGATTGAAAATGAATGAAAAGTTATTGATGTAATGGAAAATATTATTTTATTGAAAAATGTGTGGTTGAAAATAAGTAAAAAAATGGGAATGAAAAAAATAATTTGGGTCAAACAGGGGGGGCTTAAATTCAATATTTAGAAAGTTTGAGTACTAAATTACAAACTTCTATAACTTGCATCAAATCACTTTTGGACGATTGTGGAATGTGGAGGTTTCAATTGATAAGATTCAAAGACGAAGGACCAAAATTTAACATAGGAAGGGACTTGAGCTGAACAAAAAGAGAAATACAAGGGGTAAAAATATAACTTGTGATCGCAAGGAGGACCCCATGCGATTGAAGGTGGATAATATCATCTCCTACAAGCAAATATGTTAAACCATACGACGCATGGTTATTTCACGCAATAGAAAATTTATGCCTATTTTGTAACCTCTTCTTGGAAAGCAAGCACAATTTTTTACGTAATTTCGGGCCCTATAAATACATACTCCATCCAATGATTAAGATATGCTATTGGTGATAAAATACATAATTTCTTTTATTAAGAAGAGAGCTCTAAAGTAGGCTTTTGATAAAGAAGGACATATTCATTTAGGAAAAAGTCCAATGTACATAATTTTTGTTCACAAAATTTTTACAGGTGTTATTGTGGCAGCACTTGATTGAAACTTTTTTCCCCCAACTTCCAATGAATTTTCGCCAAGTGTTATCTGTGAACCAATTCTATGAATCAATTTTGTAAGTGTAGCATTGTCCATTCATTTAAGCTTTAAAAAATTCGTATCCATACATACTTTCATACACTGTTCTAAAATGAGCGCAAATGCTCCGCCTAGGGGCGACGCGCGGCCAAAACGCGTCGAATTCAAGAATGCGTGGGAAAATACGTTTTCCATCTAAAAGGCGGCGCAATGCGCGCGCCTAGGAGCGCCTAATCCCGCCTAGACGCGCCTAATGCGCGCATTATGTCACCCAATTTTTTTTCTTTTCTTTTTTTTTTTTTTTAAAAAATTTTTTTTTTTTTTTTAAAAATAATTTTATTTCTTTAAAATTACGAAAC